ACCACTTATAGCAAACAAACATGAGTCAAGCCTGCCTATGTGTGCGTGTGTGTGTGTGTGTGGGTGCGTGGGCGTTGTTTGTTTTGGTGACCAGCCAACGGAAAATTTCATGCATTTTTGCCTATTAGGCGAAAATGTAATTTTAAAACGCGAGCGATTAATGTTCAACACACACACATACAGACACATGTTGAGTGCGTTAGTGTTGCATGAGTGCAGTGTCGGCAACAAAAACATGTGACGACAACAAAGTGTTAGCAATGAACAGAAACAATGGCCACTGTGTAATGCCACAAAATGCTGTTGGCTGCGGCGAGCTACAAGTATGCATGCGCATGCGTGTGTGTGTGTGTGGAATAAACACAAAACCGCTGTGCAAACAACAAAATTGACTGTTATTAGTCGCAAAAGGAAAATAGAGCAATGTTGCACGAAAGCATGCCACATGTGTGCCGTGAACGGTGTTACCAGACTTGAACAAAACGAAAAATTATTATTTTTTTGGGCAGAAAAGTACAAGTTATTAAAACATATTTAAAAAATTGTGGATTTGATTCACTCTCTTTTCAGCAAAAAAAAAAAAAAGACTTCACGAAATAATTTTTTGATAGCGAAAATCATTGGCCTCTTACTTTAGCCACCATTAAATAGTACATACTTAATATCTGGCAACACCAGTCATGCCACCAGCGCCGTTCGCCAGTGCATTAGCATACAAAAGCATTAGGTGGCGGCTTTCATTCGCGCCTTGTGTTGCGGGCAAATGTTAAACCAACCATTGAGGCGAGTTGACTGAACGAGAAATTGAGATTGTCGGCGGTTAAGCGGTGGCACAGACCTTAAGTAGCGCACCAACATCTTTCATGCGCCTATGTACTCGCGTATTTAGCTGTATAACGGACTTTATGCATCCTCAAATTATTCGTTACTGCTAAGAAAGCGTTTCCAATTACAATGCTCTGCTCAGCAGACTCAGTGACTCAGTGACTTAATGTACGTTGAAAAGAAAAAACTCAAAACCAGTTGGAAGTGTTTCCGAAGAACACTTAAAATTAAGGAATAGACCTAATGTGAATGAGTTATTTTCGATAAGTTATATCTTTAAAAGTAACATATCATAATCTTGAATCCATCTCTCTAAAAGTTTTTGAGTTACAGCCCTCTAAAAGGTAATCGCTCTTTGGCCTGGCTTTTGATATGAACAAAAATTGAATTTTGGCCTAAACCGACTAAAACGGGCTAATTGGCTGAAATTTGTGATAGGCCCTAGGTGTTTTGCGATATGCGAAGGTCTTTTCGATCCATACATAGTAGTTCTAAACATCAAAACAACAGACAAGCGTATATAGTGGTCCAAGTGCGATTCTTCATGGATTCATATTTGCCAATTTTTACCAAACCCATCCTACTATTTTACTATCAAAAGGTTGTAAATTAGCCGAACGCCAATGTCAAAATTGGTTTGCAAATATTTTTATATGGAAAGGAAACAGTCCAAAGTCGCAAATTTACTCTCATCTGTTTTTCAATATCTGAAATTAATACTTTTTTTATTTTATTTATTTATTTATTTAAAAGAGAAATAATTATGAATAATCGTTCCACTTATATATAAAGCACTGGCTGCCAGGGCCTTCAGCTTAATATTTTTTAAATAAACGTTTTTCTTACGATTTGATTGAGATTTGATTTATTGCTTTACTAGAAGTTAAAGAGAGAGAGCTTCAATGAAACATGACTTTTTGAGGCATCTTCAGCTGGTATTATTTTGAGGTTTTTGGGTAGTTTAAAATACTAATTAATTATAAACTATCTAAAATAAATTGTATCTACTTACATACATTTCTTCTCTCTTTTTGTAGATTTTTTCGCTATCTTCGTACACGAGCTTATCGATATGTTTACTTACATAATACCGCATTTAATCTATTTTGTGCAATTTACAGAACGAAACCTATGCAGAGGCAAAAAAGCAGCCAGAGTTAATTAATTGGAAACCAGCTGCTACTTTTTATGCAATTATTGGCAGAATAAAAAAAAAATTAAAAATAATATTGAGTTCATGTAGCACATGGTTTACTTTAGCGTATCTGCAAGTTTTGGCTTTTGTTGGAGTGTGGCTCACAAATATACGCGCCAAAGCAACGACAGCAACGAGTGTTATCACTGTGGGCGAAAAATAGTAAGACTTTTTAATTTAGGTTTTCAATAGGCAATGAAACAAAGGAATTTGCTTGAGAATCGACAACTTACTGTCAGAGATCTTACTGGCATCACTGGAATATCGCATAGATGAGTGAAAACCAGCTTGTAAGATCATTTAAGCCTTAAAAAATGAAAGCACGATTGGTTACAAAATCTCAGATTTAAAAGCGACGCGTTAACGTCTGTGAAATAATACTTTTTTACTTCAAAGTATAAGTTATTACTGGCTTGCATCTTCCACCCGAAAACAAGCGATCAATCGCCAAATATCGTGGCAAAGGTGAGGTTGTTTACCGATCAAATTTAGTTGACATTTTCCATTAACTTTCCAGAAGTTAGTTTTTTTTAAAGAATTCTTTGTTTTAGTAAAAAGAGTATACCGCAGCTATATATTTCCGATATATGTATTTACCTGATAAACATGTTATTTATAACTTTATCTCCTTGCTATCAATTCCGGTTATCTATTTCTGACTTGAATACATTTCTAAACTTGTATGTATTTATCAACTCGGCTGTCAATAGTTGCGTTCTATTAGATATAGATACTTTATTACACTAAATATATGCTTTATGCCTGCTTCAAATAACGAAATTTACACATCAAATATGGAAATACGAATATATCATATTTTAATTGAAAAGCGCTACTTTATTAAAACTGCAGCAGCGAAGCCCTGCCAGTGCATTCATCAGCGAATGTAATTATTGTGAAATATTGAAATTGTTTTCATAAGAAATATTTCAGTTTATTGTTATTAAATTTATATACAAGTATGTAAGTAGCCGTTGCTGGGCATTGAAGCTCATATGGCATACATATATATATACTTAAATCATGTGAACTGTATTCAGCGCTGCTCTTCGCTTATACATTACAAAGAACACTCGCAAATGCCACAAAAAGAGCGGATTTTCAGCAGCTTACTTTGCAAGCGAACCGGCGCTGCTGCACATAAGCTTGTATATGCATATATGGTATACATATATTGATACAGTTATGTGTGTGCTCAACTGCATGCATTGAAGAAATGTTTAAAATTCCGAAATTTATTAATTAAATAACAATCGCCAGGTGGATAAGGAGGAGAGTGCGGCTGCGAAACCCCGCTTATAAGGGTGGTTAAGGGATAAGGGATGCGCATGCAGGTCAGAAAGAGAGTAGCAAAGGCAATGCATTCTGTTACAAAATAGCGCGCTGCCCCAACCCGTACGCCGGTTCCACCTGAGCATTTGCAATCACTACAGCCAACTTGCGAATGGTTCCGGCGACAATAAAATAGTAGGTAGAGATAAGCAGCAGGTACTTTGCTGTATGTACTTTGCCGCATGTACATATGCATGTGTGTGTGTTTGTGTGTGTGCGGGCAACGGTGGGTGACTGCCATTCAACGGAAATCGAACAAAAATGCTTTTAATATCGAATGCAACCGCAGGCCGCAGCAGTTTCCATTTATTGCTTTTACCCCACCTCCGCACACGACACTCACTCACAACAACAGCAACAATGTTTGTTTTTCTTATTGTGGCTGTGGTTGTTGTTAAGCTTCTGCGACCCTTCCGACGTGCGCTCGGTGCGCGCTCTCTTTATGCACCGTTATGTTTATTAATATTTTGCGGTATTGCAAATGCCATTGCGAGCAACTAACGGCGTGGAGGGTGGTAGGCAGGCGGCTGAGTCGGCGTTAGTGACCTGCTGAAAGGTAAAAAAAAAAGACGGGGGGATGGTAGGGTATTGGGTGTTGATCTTATGGGCGGCAATGTTGATGAAATGCCTAGTTATGCTTTCGCTATCAAATATTTAATTACACAACAATACAGAGAGCCGGTGCGAGCTGCCCAATAAGATAATGAATAAATTCCATATTCGTGAAAAAAGGTTAAGTTAAACATTTTAATACACTGTTGCATGAAAAAGTGCACTTTTAATTAAGAAATTCATAAAAATATAGTAAAAATAGAGTAGAAGCCAATTTCTCTGACAGTTTGGCAGCGCAACCTTCCTTTGCGTATAACTGCATATTTGGGGAACTGCAAAGAATTTCAAAGGAAAAGGCGAAAGCCAATAAAAGCTGTATAAAGCTTTGCATTCGAAGAGTAATAACAGTTAATGGCAATAAACGAGCAGCACACTCAACCGGAGAGCGGCGGGTGTGACACGGCAGGGTGCCGGCGCTGCTGGCTTGGCTGCTGAAAATATTTATTTATGAAATGATAGCGATTTCTTGCTGGCCATGACGTTTATTGCGGCATTATGTGTGCGACCATTATGCGACAGCCATTATGGAGCGCACAGCAAGTGCCAAACTCTGGCTACACGCTTGGACAATGGACGCTGCTCGCTCTTGCGGCGTGCCGTTGCTCCCCTTTACTTGTTGGTTTGTTACTGTTGCTTTGGCATTTTCGTGCACGAAGGCATTGCGCTGGGTTGGGGCACTTGGCGATGCAGATAATTAAGCTTATGAAAATTTCAATTATTTCCGTGAATCCTCACCAGCTCCAGCTCCATGGCAGTCAATCGCCTTGCTGTGCGGCAGACCGGCGCAAGAGCGGCTGCGGGTGTCGTTTGTATTTATTAACAGGTAAATTTCATTTATGAATTGCAATTTGTTGGCGACAGCTAGTGGCTGCCACCCTTTCGGTTTTGTTACGCAACCACTGTCAATGACGATTTAATACGCATACAATGTTGGGTCGAGAAAAGAAAACGAGAAAAGACAACGAATGTCTGCATAGTTGTTGTAAAAAAGCGCAGTGGGTCACTTGTTGGACCCAAACGGCGCTGTGGTACTTACCCAAATAGGCTTGCTGTGGTTCGGCCATTTGTATGAGAGCTGAGTCTTTTTTGTTGTATAAGATTTTCACACGTTGCACATCTCCATAAACACCTGTCGGCAATGAAATGAAATAAAAAACAGAGATTATTGAGTGAAAACTTTAATTTGAATGTGGTGTTGCATTTTTTTTTTTTATTGAAAAAGTGTGGAAATTATTTGTATTGATAAGAAAGTAGAGGAATTGTGAGAAATGAAAACAAATGAAATATTTAGAACTTGTTGAGAGTATCTAGCGTATACATATGTATATAAGGATAATTAAATATACATTTTTTTTTTTAAATATCTTGTATAAAAAGTTTTTTTTTTTTATTAATATGCTACCAAACTAAACCGGCATGTGTTCAAAAGTTTCTCTATAGCATAAAGTATATAAAAATATAGCCATAAGCGTTGAAATATTATACTAACGGTACCTACAATGTTTTCTCCAATTTCGCTAATTTTGACAATTTTAATAATGTTTGAGTCTCTATACTTATAAAGTTGTCAAAATTTAAACAAACATAACCAATTTATAACCAAATCGAAAATCACTGTTAGATATTATAACCAATTTTTAACCATTTTATAACAACTCAAATTTTTTTCCAATATGAGAGTCAGATAACCAATTTCTAACCAGTTTATTACCACAATTCAAATTTAGTTTCAATATTAGTGGTTTCTGTTATATCGTTTTTCCTTCGCCTGTAAACTTATGAAAAGTGCTGTTAAGTTTTTTTTGCATTTTAGGTGACCATGTACATTATTACATTACATAGAACATTCGTCGAAAATTTTGTGTTGGAACCGATAAATACTTTCCGAAATATGGGCTCCCAAAACTTTAAAGGCGTTTTTTCGAAACTATTTTTCCAGAGTATTTAAGTTTGCACACAACATTTTTTGTTATATTTGTCAGTTGAGTTTAAAGTACAAGATTTTTCATAATCATTAAATTTTATAAGTCACTCTAAGGTGTAAAATTTTCAGAATTTTTTGACAAAAATCAAAATTTCTCCTATCATTGGCTGTAATCAATTATAATATTTCTTAAAACAAAAATTAATTTTCAAAAAAAAAAAATAAAAATTTTTTTATTTGCAAGTGGTTACAACATTACTTTGTTTTATAAATTACTTATAAAAAGCAATCATATTTTATATATAAAAAAAAAAAAATATTTAATCATAAAACATTTTTTTTAAATCTAACGTAATAAATAAGCCTACTTAGCATAATAAATAATAAAATTATATAATAGCTAATGCCTTAAAAATAAGTATGTGAGGGTCACGCACATACGCACACCCACACATTTATATTGGCTTATTGAAATCCACCAACGGTGTACTGTTATGCGGCACTACAATGCCAGCGCCGCCAACTTTCGTCAAACACAACGCTAATGCGCTCTCCCTGGAGAACGTCTGCCGCCACGGAGCCGACCACCTTCGTTGGCATATTTGTCAAACAATAAATTACGATAAAAAGCAACATTTCAAAAACTTTCGCCTCTAAATGCGGCGCGCTGCCGCGAGACATTTTCTAGGCAACTCCTAAGGGATGCCACGGCGGTGGTGACGGTGTGCAGCCGGCAACAACTCAAAATTGGAAACGTCAGGAAAGTTTCATATATTTGTGTCGGTGTTTGTGTTGTCGGGAAGTGTAGCAATAAATTTACTATACTATATATGTTATGTCAACAGGGAGAAGAGGAAGTCTAAATTCGAATTTGTCTAGCCTTAAGTAAGTGTCTCTTTCGGTCGTGAAGGTGAGAATATATTAGGTTATTATTTTGATTGAATTTGTTAGTATCTAAATTAAGTGTCAGCGCAGGCTTGATAAAGCCAATACATTAACTTTGGCAGTTGAAAAAATATTGCTAAAATATTGCACTGAAGTCGAAGTATGTAATTTCTCTCATTTTAAGAAATGAAATTTTCAACTTGCTTATGATTTTTTGTCATGAATTGTTGTTCCTTTAGTAAAACGGACTGTTGTTATTTTGTAAATTAAAAAACAAAAAAAAATTAATTTAACATAATTCTTTTTTACACTTTTTTCATTACTTTTAGACCATATGCCAGTAAAGTGCAACATTTTCAAACAGTATTTCCTTCCTATTATCTTCAAGATAATACAACATTCGAAGATATTTGGCTAAGTCGTAAGAAATAACCGTTTATTATTGTGACTGCAACCAAATCTTTCCAATATATGACTCTCCAAAGAGAGAGTGAGTTTCGGTTGATAAAAACATCATTTAGAAATTCTTAACTGATTTATGAAGCAAAAAATATGTAATTAGTTCTAGTAGCTCTCGGTGTTTAAGAGTCGTAGATTTTTATAAATTCAAGGTTATGGAGCGCACTAAAAGTTGTAAATATATGTAAGACTTGTTTATTAAAACAGTTGCTGGACTACTGCAGTATATTTCAAGCTGAGATCTTTGCTATTGCAAACTCCGTGGAACAGGCTTATAACGCAATTACAGGCAATTCCAGAGTCAACAACTATGTACACAGCCAAGCAGCAATCAAGGCATGAATCTCGTATCGCATATCGGCCAGGAGTGTCTTGGGAATCATGGTAGCAGTGGAAAGTGTTGCCAGAAGCAAGCAACTTCACTTCTACTGGGTGCCAGGCAACAAAGGCATGGAGGGCAATGAAATATGAGAAGATATTGCCAAGAATGGTGTACGGCTAACACCCGAAAACTTGAGCAACATTAGGAAATCCATATTGTCTGTACGAACATCTGGTCGGAGGAATGGTAAGGAAGATCAAAGCACGATGGAAGGAACTACCTGGGTGCAGAAGCGCAGTGCAAAACGGTAGATCGAAAGTGCACAAAATTTCCATTGGCAATCAATAGAAGATATTGTAGGAACCTGATCGTGATACTAATTGGTCACTTTCTGGTGGCCACACATATCCTCCGAATGGTGCTGACAGATCGAGAAGACTGCAGGAAAAGTCTAGAGCAAAGTAGCAAAGAATCAATGGAAGATATGCGTGGTTTTCAGGCAAGTAAACACAGCAGATCAACACCTTTTTCGAGGAGAGAGAGCATTACAAAAAAAAAAAAAAAAAAAAAAAAAAAAAAAAAAAAAAAAAAAAAAAAAAAAAAAAAAAAAAAAAAAAAAAAAAAAAAAAAAAAAAAAAAACTTAGAACTAGTGCTTAAATGCACACTGACTAAAGCGAATTATGTGCAAAAGCGATTGCAACCACAGAGCAACACAAATGCCACAAACTCAAATGGAGAAATTGACCCCAAAGACGATTTTCAAAAGTGCAAATTGTTGTTTAGTGGCCAACAAGAGTAAATAAAGATTGGCCGCACAAAACATGACACACACACACATGCACATAGTACCATTAGGCATATGCACACACATAAATGAATTTATAGTTGAATGCACAAACTTGCAGCACGAAGCACACTGTTGAGCATTGATAGCGGTCCGCCAAGGCTTAGGCAGAGCAAAACTAAAAAAAAAATTTAAAAGCAAAAAAAAAATTGCACAACAAACAGTGAGCAAAGTGACTTTACCAAATGCAAAGCAGAAACCGAATTTGGAAAATGGTAAAGAAATTGACAGGAGCCGAAAGTAAAAATGGTAGAAAAGTGAATTTATTTGGCAAAACCACCGAACAGTGGGGGGAGCAGTGAGCAAAATGGATAGCACCGTCGTTTGCAGCTCAAGCCATCTAAGGGATGCGCGGTGGCTGGGACGTGTGTGCGACTGAGTGCAGCACTTGTGTTGAAGAAGAAAAATTGTGCATGCCAAGAAGTAAATCCATTTTACACAGCCGAATGCATAAACAAACCGCACACAGCCGAGGCACAGGCAAGCCGCTGCACAAAGGGCGCAGAGTAACCTACGTCGGCACACACACCGCCGCATAGCACATATCCACAGTACTTTTAAGAGGCAGTGAAATAAAAATATCTGCTGAAATGCTGGCAGAATTTTCAATGTTGAATGCGCAACATTCAAAATCCACCAGGGACTATGGAGCCAACAAGGCAACTTACACTTGCCACTCAGCCGGGCAGTCAGTCAAACAGACAGTCGGGCAGCAACAGGCAACTGACAGCATGCTGCTGGCATCCAGCGTCAATGCTGCCACAAACTGGTACGTAAAGGTGTGTTGGCTGCACTTGCTGCACGTCTGTCGATGACGTCGCAGGGGCCGAATGGTTGCTCGATGGCTTCGATGTGCACGTTGAAGCGGAAATGAAGTCAACAGTGGCCACTGACGGCATATGCTGTTGCAACAATAGAAGCGCAGCGCAAGTGTGTTTCGCAATGTTGCAAGCAACCGTTTATTCACTTTGCCGTGCGCTTGACTTGTGCCCCACAAGCAAATACGAGTAACAAGTTAACAATTCGAAGCAAAATATTTGCTCTGCTGGCGAAAAGAATGATGAAATAGTTGTGGAGCGCTGCACAATGCAATAGCAGAGAGGAGCGGCGTGTGTTTGTTATGTTGTGTGGCAAGAAAGGTTGCTTATTTTTTATGCTTCTTCGAAGTGTGTGTGCTTTTACTTGACAGTAAATTATTTTTGCGCAAAACGGATTCACAAGCGCTATCAATGCTTGCTGACGTTGACTTGGCGCCAGCGCTGGTGTTGTTAGTGTGTGGCGAAGCACTGAGTGCAACAAATCAACATTATTGCGGCAGATTCCCAAGCGTGCCATTAGCTGCTAGGCAAATAATAAATATATGCGAAGGGTTCAAATAAACAAGATTGGCGTTCAGGTGTGAGGTTAATAGCGCACAATAACGGTTTATTTATTAGAAGAGTATCATTAGAGGAGCGTGTGGAGAGTGTAGGTGAGATTAATGTCTTTGAATTACTCAAATTGCAATTCGGCCATAAGAAAATATTTTAGTTTTAGGTGTGATTTGATTTTAAAAATGTAATTTTCTTTGACAAAAATAGCAACAAAAATCCATTTAGTGACCTGAAAGGAATTTAAATCAGTGAAGTGGGTTATTTTTGGCATTTTGTGATAAAGTTGATGTAGATTCCTGACTTTTTTTCCATAGATTTTTT